CTTGAATTAGAGAATAAGTCATTCTGTATTTTTATAATTTATTATTCTTTTATACTTGGCAGTTTTTTTTAGAGTCATGGCATGTAATTGCTAAAAAATTTGAAACTTAGCTAAGAAGTTGATTTAACCTGGCTTTGGCTTCTTTTTTGGCAGCTAGTTTACCTGTGGACATCCTCCACTACCTAGCATGTATTCATTTATCAAATACTTTTCTTGAAAACCAGTTGTATGCCAACATTGTACTGGTTGGTTTGGATACAATGATAGGCATAATTTCTGAACCCTTCTTTTAAGGAGACTGTGACCCAGTGGAGCAAACATATAAGTAAGCACAGAGTTAGTTATATCACACTGTGTGATGATTAAGTTTTATGAAAGGAGAAGATAGCATATATCCTGAAAGCATTTGACAGACACATCCCCTCAGACTTTACCCAGAGTAGGAGTATATAGGGGTATCACAGGAACGTATTCCAGAGGTTGGTATGAAGCAGGATACAAGAATTGTTGAATGTTCAGACAGAATATTAATAGAAGGAGCTAGTAAGTTAAACTGAGAAGCTAGTCATTCAGAGCATTCCATTTATTTATTTATTTATTTATTTATTTATTTTTAACGTTTATTCATTTTTGAAAGATGGAGAGAGACAGAGCATGAGTGGGGGAGGGGCAGAGAGAGAGAGAGGGAGACACAGAATCTGAAGCAAGCTCTAGGCTCTGAGCTGTCTGAGCCACGTGGTGCTCGAACCCATGGACCCCAGGATCATGACCTGAGCAAAAGTCAGATGCTTAACTGACTGAGCCATCCAGGCACTCCATTCCTTTTTTTTTTTTTTAACTTTTATTTTAAATTTTGTTTAAATGTTTTTATTTATTTTTGAGAAAGAGAGAGAGCACAAGGAGGGGAGTGGCAGAGAGAGGGAGACACATAACCTGAAGCCGGATCCAGGCTCCAAGCTGTCAGCACAGAGTCCAACTCAGGGCTTGAACTCATGAACCACAAGATCATGATCTGAGCTGAAGTCAGACACTTAACTGACTGAGCCACTCAGGTGCTCCCAGACCCTTCCTTTTAAATGGTGTTAGAGAATTTGGAATTCAGAATTTGGGGGCTTGGGGGGAACTGAGGGGTTTTTATGTGAAAGTGGTATCACTAATGAGTATAAGAGTTGGAGACCGATAAAAAAGTTGCTATAGATTTCTGGTCTAGAAATGATGTTGATGTAAAATGGGATCGAAGCAGCTAGTGACAGAAGTGGATTGGGTTGAAATTCTTTAGGCAGTGTAATAGGCCAATTGTTACTCCAGCATCTGAGATTGAAAACTGGTGCGTTCACTCTAGCAGAACATAATTTGAGAGGCAGGTCCACTGGAAGCTAAAGAAATAATATGAGAGTAAGCCATTCCTTGGAATTACCCATTTCACTGCTCCTTGAAATAGTATCAGTAAGTAGTAGTAGGTTGTACCAAAATTCCTACAATTAAATAATTAGAGTCACCCAGGTTCCACCAATATGAGTAATAGTCATGCATAGACATTCAGCTCTTCTTACCCTTTGTCTAGTCCTACTATTTTAGAATAGCAAATAAAATCATATTATAGAAAGCAAAGTAGGAAGTGGAAGTAGTCCCTGGATGCACTGGTATAATTTGAAGAGAAAGTCAACCAAGCATACTCTAATAATCAATTTTCAGATAATCAAGATTTAGTTGTACCACTATTACTCATTTCATTTTTTGTCATTAAGCAGTTGGGGGAAAAAAACTTTAAAATTAGAATTGTCTTTTTCTTAAATTTTTATTTTGAAATTATTATAGACTCACAGAAGTTGCAAAAGTAGTACTTAGAGTCCTGTAAACCAGTTTCGTCCAGCTTCTGTTAAGGGTGACCTCTCATGTAACTCTATATATAGAGTTATACGTATAACTCTCGTATAACTATAATACAATACCAAAATCAGGAAATTAATATTGCTCTAATATTGTTAACTGGACTATGGGTCTTATTTGGTTTTTAAGCAGATTTTACTTGCACTGATTTTTGTATGTCTGTATAATTCTCTGTGATTTGATCCCATGTATAGATTTGTGTGACCACCACCTCAATAAAGATACACAACTGTTCCACCATTACAGAGTAACTCTCCATGCAACCCTTTTGTAGTTATACTCACCCCTGCAACCTTGACTTTGTCTCTTAGCCACTACCACTCTGTTCTTAATCTCTTGTCATTTCAGTTGTACCAGTGGATCTTGGGACTCATTCCACTTCCCTCTGTGCTTTATTTTATTTACTATTCCGAAATAGTAGGACTAGACAAAGTGTAAGAGGAACTAAATATCTATACATGGCTCTTAATCATTTTAGTACCAAATGTAAGCTTGGGTGACTACAATTACTGTAGAAGTTTTTAGTACAAATTATTATTCACATTGTTTCAAGAATGTTGTTTAAGTGGAATCAGAAAATATGTAATTTTCTTTTGAGGTTGGCTTTTTTTTTTTTTTACTATGGGTAATCAATACTATTGAGATTCATGTATGTTGTTGCATGTATCAGTAGTTACTCCTCTTTTTTTGCTCAAGTATATTCCCTTATATGGATGGATGTTTGAGTTTGTTAAATTCTGTTGACTCATTGGAGAACATCTGTATTGTTGCCAGTTTGAGGGTTATTATGAGTAAATTTGTAATGAGCATTCATATTACAAGGCTTTAGGTTGAACATAAGTTTTCATTTCTCTGGGATAAATACCCAAGAGTACAGTTGCTTGCTGTGTTGCATGGTAAGAATATATTTAGGTTTTTAAGAAACTGCCAGCAAGAAACTTTGCATAGTGGCTGTAACCAGTTTGCATTCTCACCAGTAGTTATGTGAAAAATCCAGTTTCTCTGCATCCTCACCAGCATTTGGTGTTACCTCACTTTTTTATTTTAGCTGTTCTAACAGATATGTATTGATATTTCATTATGGTTTTAATTTGCATTTTCCAAATGGCTAATAATGTTAAACATCTTTCACTTGTTTATTTGCCATCCCTATATCCTCTTCAGTGGAATGTCTGTTTATGTCTTTTGCAGATTTTTCTAATTGGATTGTTTCTTTTTTGTTGAATTTTGAAGATGCTTTATATATTGGTCCTTTGTCAAATATGTGGATTACAAATATTTTCTGTCATGCTCTAAAGCTTGTTTTTTGTCTATTAAATTAGAATTGTTTTTTAAAATATTCTTTGTTATGGAGTGCAGATTTGACTGTTATTTGGAGGGGCAAAATGTATTAAAATTAATCTTTTGACTAAGATTTAATTTACAGCGAGGTAGGCACTGAAGTACTGTGTGTGTTTCTTTCATGAATGATCCCCAAAAGAAGACAAATGCATGCTTTTAATGGTTTACTTGAATTATATTTGATGCAAGGAGGCAGATTAGACACCTACCTATGACCTCAGACATTTTACTTAGCTTTCATGAGCATTGTTTTCTTAATCCATGAAATGGGGAAAATATTTTTTAAATTCAGTGATAGTTTGAAATAGCTATTATAGCCCTAAAAACAAAAGCATATTGTAAAAGCTCTCCCCCACTTTTTAAAAATTCAGTCCTCATTTTCTAGTAGGCAATTATTTCATGTTTTTTTGTGAGTTCAGATGTTGACTTACAGATCTTTTTCATAGTCAAGAGTATCTTAAACCACAGTGAGGCTGTCATTTCATTTTGCTGAAAGGGTTTTCTAAACCCCACATACAACTCTGATTTAAGGGAAAAAATAATAAGTAGAATCAAGTAAAAATAATTAATGTAAAGATGCTCAAACAAGGTGCCTTGCATGGACATTAGGCTGATAGAAGGTGCCTTTTAGGGATTAGGTGCCTTCTAGGGGCAGCTGGGAAGACTAATTTTCTCCTAAGAAAAAATATTCTTAAAGGTTAAGACAGCAGTTGATGACTGTTTTTGAGTTTCCAGTTTGGGAGCTTGGCACCAGAAGCCAGAGTTTAGGCCCTGGCTACATAGCTTATACAATAAAAGGAAGACAGATTTTCTTGCTATTTATCTGTCATAGCCTTTCTCAGATGTTACCCTGTTAGCATTTCCAGGGAAACATAAAACAGCATTCCAGGGGTTGGCATCTAATTGTCAGTATGTGAAATTAAAAATATGAGTTAATGAGTTATTAAATGAGGTATATACGAAGCACTTATAACAGTTCCTGGTATATAAGTAAACACTGCTTAAGTTCTTATTACCAGACTAGTAAAGGATTGCTATGGAAGTCAATGTGAAGAAAATTAGATCTTTTAACCAAGTGTATTTATCTGTGAATATGTTGCCCTAAAGAAGAATTTTACAAAAGTTATCTTTTTCTTAATAGTATATATATTTTTCATTCCTGCTATCATTCCCAACTTTATTTGGACATTATGCTAAAATACATCTAATTTTGAAATATACTCAGTTTGGGGATACTGGCAATTAAGTGGAAATCTTTTTTAATGTAATTTGATTATGGGTAAAGAGAAATACAGGCAATTATGGATGTTCAGAGAAGATGCATTTTACCTACTGTCTAATGATTGTGTATGGTTGGTGAATGGAGCAAGAAAGCAAAGGTTTTGTGGAATGTGATGATCCTGTGGGATGGATGGGGAGGGAAACATTCTGTATGAAGGAAGCGCATAATTAAAAAAAAAAAAAGTTAAGGAAGGGATGTGAATAGTAGATTGAAGAGAAATGGAGTAGTTGTCTGTAAGAAAGAAAAAAATGACATACATTAAGGTATGAGTTTGAAGTGTATAGCATGATGGTTTGATTTACATATACTGTGAAATGATTATCACACTAGGTTTAGCCCCAATTTTTTGAAGTTTGAGAAATTGAACATTTTCATGTTTTCATGTTTTAAAACTTGTGTTTATTTTGATTCTATGATAGTAAATTCTTAAATAATCTTTTCAAGCCAGTAATGTTTTGTATTCATGCTAATTTATTTTTTTTTTAAGGATTTCAGTTTGTTGAAATGAGCAGTCGTAAATCAAAGAGTAACAACTTAATACATGCAGAGCTCCTTTCACAGGTTAGTATTTTCATTAATCCTAAGGTGTCTTAACATGCATCGCTGATCAGAGAATTGTCATCTTCTTAACTGGAATTCTCCCTTTAACGTGAAGGGAGAACATAACTCCCTTTCCATTCAAAAGGGTAGAATGTCTTACACTACATTTATTTATTCTTTGTAAGTCTTTGGATAGTTAGAGTGCTAACTTGACTTCTGCCTTCCCAAATGTCTTCTAATTTCCATCTACTTTAATGTAATCTTCAGAGTTTTGTACTTCTTTGTTAAATTTATTCCTCTTTTACTTCTTGTGATGCTGTTATAAATGGGAGTTTTTTTCTTAATTTTTTTTACTTGTTCATTGTTAGTGTATCTAAGTGAAATTGATTTTTGTATATTAACCTTGTTTCCTGTAGCCTTGCCAGACTTATTAGTTCTAATAGTTTTTAGTGTATTCTTTAGTTTTTTAATATATAAGATCATGTCATCTGCAAATATAGTTTTACTTCTTCCTTTTCAGTCTGGTTGACTTTAATTTTTTTTATTGTCTAATAGCCCCAACTAGAACTTTCAGTGCAATATTGAGTAAAAGTGAAAAGAACATTCTTGTTTCATTTTTTATATTTGGGAAATACATTCAGTCTTTCACAATTGATATGATGTTAGCTATAGTTTTTGTAGGTGCCCTTAATCAGATTGAGGATGCTGTCTTTTTTCCTGGTATGTTGGGTGTTTTTATCATGAAAATTTAATATTAAGTGCATACTGTATTCCAATGGTGAGTATACATGTATGTGTGTCTCTCTTAAGGAATATAGTAGGGAGTGGGTATAATAACTGCTCTGGTATTTCTATTTATCTGACTTGACCAGAACTGTGTGTTTTTCTAATAAAAACTAAATGTAAGTTATTGGCATCCCTTCATATAAGACCTTACTTTCTTTTTGGAAGGAAAATGTTTAACTCTGTTTCAAAGAAAGTTTTTAGCTGAAGTATAATTTACATATCCTAGTAAAGTGCACAAATCCACATACAGTTCAGTTTCTGTACATGTATACACCTATTTAACCTTCATCTCAGATCACTTGAGATTTTTGAACCTTTCACTGTTCACTACAGCTTCACTTCACTTTACCCCTTAGATGTTATACATAGTTCTTGCCTTTCTATTAGACTTTAATGAAGTTTGAGAAAGAAAAAAAAAGTGAGGTTTATCTTTTGATTTCTAATGATCTTACGTAAGTAGAGAAATAAGCATTATGTTTAGTTGAGTCTCTGTAGATGCTCATTTAAATGTTTTATAGGTATCAGCTGTTACCTATACAATACCTGTGTTATGTTACAGATGACTGCCTTATTTAATCTTGAGAACAGGCCTGCCAGAAAACTGTTTCATTGTTTCAATTTTGTATATTAAAAAAATTAACATTTAGAAAAGGCTAACTTTAAAATCCATGTAGTTGACTTCTGGCATCACTCCTTATTCTTTCCCCTTCTTAGACAATGATAATATGGATTATTTTATCTCTACTGAATAATTTGCTTTGCTTAGCCTCTGGTACATGTAAACAGGACTCAGATTTATCTTTTTGGTACATGAAGGATCGGTCCAATGTTGTCAGTGTGGGAGAAGCAAATAATCTTGGAAGCTTCTTTCTTCTGATGATGGGACCAAATCTGAAATAGCCTCTTAAGACTTTTGTCCCTGAAAGACCTCTGTAGTAGCAGCAGATTGAGAAACGGAATGCCTTTAATGGTCTATATTTTTAAAAATTATGCTAGATTGTCTGACATAATTTTTTAAAACCCAGTCTAAGCCCTTTTTTCTAAGGCAAACTCAAATTTAGGTCCTTACAAGATTTTTTTTCTTAATTCATTCCAATGATTCTTCATTTTATAGGTGTAGATGAACACAATTTCTTCCATGTAATTGAGCATTTCCTTATATGCTGAATTACTACTTTTTTCAATATGTCATTTCTTCCCAATTTATTTGCAGTGTTTATTTAGGCATGGGTCATGCTCCTTTAGTAGTAGTATGTTCTGAATCTAATAGGTCCTCAATAAGTATATAGACTTTTAAACTTTATTTTCTCAAATCCTGACTTTCATGATAGATGTAGATGGATAGGGCTTGAACTAAGCCAGTTTAGATGTGTTTGGTCTCTAGAGATTGAGGTGTGGTTCATGAGCATTATTAGATGACATTACGTTATTCGATTCTTTTGTGTCTTTGTTCCTTGGCTGATATGTTATGTACAAAGTGAAGCAATCATTTATTCACATGCAGTAAAACAGCCCTCCAATTGCTGATGTGGCTAAAGTAATTCTCTTGTTGGATTTCACAAGTAAATTCTCATCTTTCTTCTGGGACTTGGGATAAGAAAAAGAAAAAGAAAAAAAACCCACTAATTTTACAACTCATGAAAATGGTACCAGAACTCTTGAACACAAGCTATTTATGGAGGGTTAAATAAATTGATTAATACCTAATTCTGACTGCTATAAATGTGTATTCTCAGTCATTTTGATTTCATGAATAACATTTTCATTTGTATTTACTCACTTCTTTAAATCAGGTACAAAGAGTTTTACGGGAAAGATTTTGTCATCAAAGCCCACATAGTAACTTATTTGGAGTACAAGTACAATACAAGTAAGTTTAGCTATCCCTTTTTCTACTTAAAGATGCCCTTTAGGTTTTTCAAAAACCTACATAGATTTTATGTTACCTTACATGGATTTTATCTTGAATATGGCTAACATTTTTATAGAGATAAAAAATTTTGCTTTTATACAGAAGCACTGAATATTATAAAGCAAGAGCAGATATAAATGTTTTCATAACAGGAAAGCTCCTTAACTTTGAATCTTTTGTTGTTTCTGTCATCTGGTATTATGGAGACAAATTCTGAGGTCTTGTACCTGATTCTCGAGTGCCAGCTGTGGAGTGAAATGTTCCAAGAATTGCCACTGTTGTCCCTTGTCCCATATCATCATAAAGCCAAGATATTTCAAACTTAACTTGGTTTCCTCTTGAAGTTTCTAGAGATTCGTATGGACTTACTATCTCTTCCTGTGTTTTTCTGTGTAGGACTATATACAGCATAAGTCAAGTGCCAAGTGGGAGAGAAAAAGTGAATGCCTATTTTCTGTGCATATTCATATTCAGCTTTTAAAAAGTATTATCTAGCAAGTTATTCTAGCTTCCTTTTTAAATGTTGGCTATTTATGTCATTTCAGACACTTAATTGAGCTGCTAAAAAGAACTGCTATCCATGGAGAAAGTAACTCTGTTCTCATTATTGGGCCCCGAGGATCAGGAAAGACCACGGTAAAACTATTGATTTCTGGTATTTCCTTGCTTCTGTAGACATGTGATGATTCTTCTAGCCAATACCGGAAATATCTTTTATTTTCATTATTTTGTTAATTTTTCTTTTGTTTTTATTCTTTAAATAATAGAAGACCTACAAAGCCTTAAAACTTAGGGTGGTATATTTGAATTGAGCATATCCTTTTTACCTTACTTTCCTCCTCAGTAACAAATTTTCATTTGATGTTTTCCCATTGTCTTTTGTCCTTGAAGAATTAGTGATTGCCAGTAGAAACAGCAAATTAGCATTATGGAGCATGTTTCTTATGCTTTTTATCTATGTTCTGTACCTTAACTTGTGCTTTTTATCTGTTATCAGTTTTATACTAACCCTGTAAGGTAGGCATTGATTCTGTTTATAAATTGGGTAACTATCATACCATGCATTCTTTTCTCCCTACTATTTGATTAATATTTACTGTTTAATCCTAACTCAAGTAATTTTTTCATTATACTCCCATCTTCTAGAATTCTTTTCTACTTTTCCTCTATCATATTTCGCTTAGTTACCTCAAAAGCATATTCTTGCTTTTTCCTCTGATTTTGTCTTTTCACATTCTTTTCGATATATGAGACAAATTATAGCTGTTACGTTGAATATATTACTATTAACTTTCAGTACTTGGGCTGCGTAAAATTTCTTTTCTGCTATATTCCATGCAATGAATTTAGATTTTTCACTAACATAGTTATTTTTATGTGTTGAAGTAAAATTATGTATTAAATAAAATTATGTAAATTATAAGTTAATTATAATTATTAAATTATACTAATTAAGTTAAATTATAAGTAATATTGCTTATTTTATAACCAGTAAATATTGACTGTACATTAGGTAAGGTGAGGAAATAAGGACTTTAGTATTTTACTCTTCTCACCCATTTCCAGTATTTGAAGTATATAAGTTGGGAATACAGATCTAGGTAATTTCTTTTCTTTTTTAATCTTGGAATACTTTTTCACATGTATTATATTACAATTATATTTAGAATAATTTTTTCATTTTGACTATACTGTATTTGATTCAGTCCTTATGCTCATTTTATATAACCACTATTTTTTTATTCTTGCTTTCTTTATTATGATTTTCCTTTGTGTTTGACTTCAGTGCTGTTGGGATAGCTTTAACAAGAGAGCCATATGATTGGTATGCCTTTGAGCTATTAGAATATTTTAAATTCTTAACAATAATATTAACAATAGAAACACTGAGCAAAGGATATGCACAGAAAGGTCACAGAAAATTAAATACAAATCTGTCTTAAACTTATAAGCATCTTCAATCTTACTTATAAGTAACAAATTTAAAGCATTAGCACTTTTGTCTACCAGGATGACAAAACCTGTAAAATTGAGAACACTAAAATTGTGAACTTATAGGAAAATAGACACATGTTCCTACTGGTAGTATAAATTTACATAACTAGAATAAAAGACAGTATCTAACCACATTACGAATTCATATGCCCTTTGACTCAGCAACAGCATTCTAGGAATTTGTACTTTTTAAATGATGTATATACACTTACTCATTGCAACAACATTATTGATAGTGAAAGATCAGGAACAACATAAATGCCCATCAAGAGAATACCAGTTAATAAATGCTGGTTCATCCATCCATATGATAGATTATTATGCATCAGCAAAAAGTAACATTTGTCTGTAGTCCAGAAGAAAAGGGAAGAGGAAAAAATATCCTATTTTTATTGGTTTGTACAGGCATACCTCATTTTACTTTGCTCTGCTGCACTTTGCATATACCGTGTATTTTACAAATTGAAGATTTTTGGCAACCCTTTGTTGAGCAAGTATGTAGGTGCCGTTTTTCCAACAGCATGTGGTCATTTTGTGTCTCTGTCCCATCTTGGTAATTCTCAAAATATTTCAAACATATTCATTATCATATGTGTCATGGTGATGTGTAAACAGTGATCTTTGATGTTACTATTATAATTGTTTTTGAGGTTTCAGGAACCATGTGCATATAAGATGGCAAACTTAATGGATTGATGTGTTTGTTCTGACTGCTCCACCCAGTGGCCACTCCCCCATCTCTGTCCCTCTCCTTGGGCCTTCCTATTCCCTAAGATACAACAATATTGACATTAGGCAATTAATAACACTACAGTGGCCTCTAGGTGTTTAAGTGAAGGGGAGAGTCACACATTTTAAATCAAAACACTTTAAATCAAAAGGTAGAAATGATTGAATTTAGTGAAGAAGGCATGTCAGAACCAAGATAAGCTGAAAGCTAGGCTAGGCCTCTTACACTAGTCAAGCAGTGAATACAAAGGAAAAGTTCTTAAAGGAAATTAAAAGTGCTACTCCAGTAAACACACCAGTAGTGAGAAAGTGAAATAGCCCTGTTGCTGATATGGAGAAAGTTTTAGTGGCCTACACATTCCCTTAAGCCAAAGCCTAATCCAGAACAAGGCCCTAATTCTGTTCAGTTGTTCAAAGGCTGAGAGAGGTGAGGAAGCTGCAGAAGAAAAGTTTGAAGCTAGCAGAAGTTGGTTCATGAGGTTTAAGGAAAGCAACACCTCCAAAACATAAAAGTGCAAGCGCTGATGTAGGAAAAGGGAGAATGATGAAACACAGACACATACTCTTGTTACAGTTCCTACCCAGAGGTGATACAGACTGCATCTCCTCACAGTTGCCTGGCCAGAGTGTCACATGCTCATACCTAATTTCAAGAGAGCAAAGAAGTGGATTTCTCCTAGATGCCTAGAAGGGATTGCTAGAAGTATTTGGTGAATGTCTGTGATGTTCACCACAGCTAACTTGTTTTGTGTGTGATTTTTCCCCGACTTGATAGTTGTAGAATTTCTTTATCTTAGCAGTGTAAAAATTTCAGACTATAAGCATAGGTCATAAAAACTGATACTGTATAAACTCCCTTAATATGAATTTAGATCTTTTTTCAGTAAAGGTTAATTTTTTTTTCTGTTTTCATTGTTCTGTTATCTTTGGAAAACACATCATCATACAAATGTTTAAAGATTATTTTTAGATAATGCTTTAATTCTTCAAGAACTCCATTAGTGATACTCTGAGAAAATGAGATGTAGGAAATCAGTACATTAGACCTATTATTCCATCATAAACTATGCATCTTGAAACAAAGTGGCATTACAACAGAGAAGTTGTATCTCAGTGGTGTGTATATTAAAGGGTCTAGCCTAAAAATATAACTTGGGTCGCAAGCAAGCAACTGAATTTATTCTGAACTTCATCTTGGAAGTTTGTCCCTAAAAGCATGGAGAAGGTTCAAAAAAAAAAGGAAGTAGAGTTAGTAAACACTTGTAAAGATGTTTAAATACAAATTGAAACTTTACTCATTTAATTAGTAAATTGGCTAAAATAGACCTATTTTTTACCAAAAAAAAATTTAAACATGTAAGAGAGTTCCCTGGTTATTTTTTTCAATATTTATTTATTTATTTTTATTTATTACTTTGTTTTATTTTAATTTACATCCAAGTTAGTTAGCATATACTGCGACAATGATTTCAGGAGTAGATTCCTTAATGCCTCTTACCCATTTAGCCCATCCCCCCTCCCACAACCCTACCAGTAACCCTCTGTTTGTTCTCCATATGTAAGAGTCTCTTCTGTTTTGTCCCCCTCCCTTTTTTTATATTATTTTTGCTTCCCTTCCCTTGTGTTCATCTGTTCTGTGTCTTAAAGTCCTCATATGAGTGAAGTCTACGATACTTGTCTTTCTCTAATTTCGCTTAGCATAATACCCTCCAGTTCCATCCATGTAGTTGTAAATGGCAAGATTTCATTCTTTTTGATTGTCGAGTAATACTCCATTGTATATATATGCCACATCTTCTTTATCCATTCATCCATCGATGGACATTTGGAGTCTTTCCATACTTTGGCTATTGTTGATAGTGCACTATAAACATGGGGGTGCATGTGTCCCTTCAAAACAGCATACCTATATCCCTTGAATAATTACCTAGTAGTGCAATTGCTAGGTTGTAGGGTAGTTCTATTTTTAATTTTTGAGGAACCTCCATACTGTTTTCCAGAGTGACTGCACCAGTTTGCATTCCCACCAGCAGCACAAAAGAGATCCTCTTTCTCCGCATCCTCGCCAACATCTGTTGTTGCCTGAGCTGTTAATGTTAGCCATTCTGGCAAGTGTAAGGTGGTATCTCATTGTGGTTTTGATTTGTATTTCCCTGATGATGAGTGAAGTTGAGCATTTTTTTGTGTGTCGGTTGGTCATCTAGATGTCTTCTTTGGAGAAGTGTCTATTCATGTCTTTTGCCCATTTCTTTACTGGATTATTTGTTTTTTGGGTGTTGAGTTGATAAGTTCTTTATAGATTTTGGATACTAACCCTTTATCTGATATGTCACTTGCAAATATCTTCTCCCATTCCATCGGTTGGCTTTTATTTTTGCTGCTTGTTTCCTTCACTGTGCAGAAGATTTTTATTTTGATGAGGTCCCAATAGTTCATTTTTGCTTTTTGTTTCCCTTGCCTCTGGAGACGTGTTGAGTGAGAAGTTGCTGTGGCCAAGGTCAAAGAGGTTTTTTGCCTGCTTTCTCTTCAAGGATTCTGATGGCTTCATGTCATATGGTTAGGTCTTTCATCCATTTTGAGTTTATTTTTGTGTATGGTGTAAGAAAGTGGTCCAGGTTCATTCTTCTGCATGTCACTGTCCAGTTTCCTCAGCACCACTTGCTGAAGAGACTGTCTTTATTCCATTGGATATTCTTTCCTGCTTTGTCAAAGATTAGTTGGCCATACGTTTGTGGGTCCATTTTGGGGTTCTCTATTCTGTTCTATTGATCTGAGTGTCTGTTTTTGTGCCAGAGAGTTCCCCTGTTATAACCATCCCTCCCCCCGCCACATACACACATACAACTTCCCCTGTTATTAACATCTTTCCTTAGCATGGTACATTTGTAGAAATTCATGAACCAGTATTAATA